TCTATGTCAACATCAGTCAGTGTACTCTCGATCAGTAAAAAGCAGACTTGTAATGGAAACAGTACAATTTATTTTAATTATCATACTACGTAGAGTAAAAAAACGAACATTTCTTGAGCTAAATTCCCGCGACAGATGAGGACCAAGCTCTTTAGTGCGCACTTTCTCTTCTAACTGTAGCCTGCTGAATGGCACAAGAAGGCACAAGAAGCAAAGCGTTAACGTGATTCATCTAGATTTTTATAGAAAGTCAGTTAGAATCTGCAGGATATCCCGTAATCTAGATCTGTCGATATATACAACTGTTTCTAATATCTAGATGACACCGTATAAAAGAAGCAATAAAGTGAAACAATACTAATAACTCACTATGCACACAATCTGAGAAGATTTAAAGATTTCTAATTACTTCGTGCAGCACCTACAACCAGACTCAATTTGAATATTTACCTTAACAGGACTTGCTGCTACACAATAGAGGGCGAAAACAGTTCGATACCCATTCTTCATTGAGTTACCGTAGACTCTACTAGTCTAGTACTACTAGTGTAGTAACCTAGATAGGCTAGCGGTAACTTGGATCAAATTTTAAGCTTGCACCAAATTGGTGCTGCGAACTGGAGTTTCACGCATCTTTCTTCTTGTGCGGGAAGGATGATGCATAGATTTCTCTACAGTGACAAAAATGACTTTGGTGCAAAGATTTTGCTTGCTCCCAGCAGACACTACCGCAAGCAGTGCGACGAGCATAAACCATCCTCGCTGTCTGTCTCTTCACTGGCGCGCGCGCAGCCAGCGGGTGACGGATCGCAAGGATGTAAGTACTGCTAGTACTAGTATGTAAATCTAGAGCATTGACTGGTTTAGAACAATTAGAAAATGGGGGAGGTGAAGGCCAGGATTAGGTGGAGCGCTTGCACCAATTGCACCAATGGCGCCCCGCCACTGGAGTTCCTCCATGATGCTTTACAGTTCGTCCTTGCTCGGAGGCTGCAGTGGGAATTCCCGGATCCATTCTGGGATCTGCTGTTGGAACAGTCTCAGGCGGTCTGCCTTGAGGTGCTGAGCCAGGCTGGGAGCCGAGCTAAAGGCCAGGTACTGACCCTTGACGGGGTCATAGGGCGGCCATGTTGGGGGCGCCTTGCCACTGGCTCCTTTTGGCACTTCCGGTTTTCTGGGGATAGAGAGAAGAGAGATGGTGGGGGGGGGGGGGAGAAACAATGACTTTGGATGCATTCATAAAGCAGGAAGCCATCACTCAAGAAATTCATTGTTCATCGTTTCAAGAAGCAACATCCTTGCATTCTGGACATCTCCATTGATGCTTCGTTGCTCTCTACAAAATGTCGCTAAGGGTCTTTCTACTGATTGTGCCAGTGCATATCTGGTTAAACGTTCTTCTGTTCTTTCCTGTAAGGGAGCAAGATTTCACTCAAGAAATAGAACCCGAAAGTATTGATCAATGATAACATCATCATCGTTTGACTCTTTCACCCTGGTATTGGGAATAGGCCACCAAAAAGAACTCTCTATGCATCTCTATTCCGAGCAATCTTCTCCACCTCCAGCAAGCTATGTCCTAATACACCTGAGAGCTGCCTCTAGATCTCATTCACTGGTGGATCGCATTGTGCATGACATACATTGAGACAAAACAAAACTATGTCCCAATACACCTGAGATCTGCCTCTAGATCTCATTCACTGGTGGATCGCATTGAGCATGACATACATTGAGACAAAACAAAACTATGTCCCAATACACCTGAGAGCTGCCTCTAGATCTCATTCACTGGTGGATCGCATTGAGCATGACATACATTGAGACACAACAAAGCTATGTCCCAATACACCTGAGAGCTGCCTCTAGATCTCATTCACTGGTGGATCGCATTGAGCATGACATACATTGAGACACAACAAAGCTATGTCCCAATACACCTGAGAGCTACCTCTAGATCTCATTCACTGGTGGATCGCATTAAGCATGACATACATTGAGACACAACAAATCAGGTGGTTTAGACACGTTATGAGAGCGGGGTCACAACAGCCAACTTTTAAAAGGCCTACAACATCCAATTCGATGATTCAAGGTAAAAGGAAGACCAAGAAAAAGATGGATTAGTGAAGTCAAAGAGACCCTTCAAGGGAACAGTATGGGGATGTCCCCTTTTCCAATGGGACACATTCAAAGAAATATGTGTCACGACGTCGTGGAATTAGGCGCCTGTCAATTTTTGGCATATGGGGTTATTGGTATCATCTTTATGTCTGTTCATTTGCCTTTTTTTAGGTGAAAAAAATATCCATCTGTGTTGAAAAAACTCGATATATTTGCCTTTAAAGGAGGTACGGGTTGCCTGGTTTCAGAGTTAAAATTAGTGATAAAATTGCCAGCAAGGTTTAGTAACTTTCATAATCTGAGAGTCCTTCGAAACTCAAAATTTGAATTTTTTGTGCCTTTGATCAATGTTTTTCAGTAAAATCCATACAAAAATGTGTGCTTAAATTGCCCAGAGGCCCACAAAGTGCTGATTTCTTTGAGTTCATTATTTTGACAAGCGCCTGATTTCACCAAACAAAAACAAACAGCGAAAAAGGCAAATAATAAAACAGGCTAAAATGAAAGGTAACTCACCCAGTCTTGACAAATGATGAGACCAGATCACTGTACTTGTTCTTGAGGTCAGTATCAGCACTTGACCACTTGCTTTCGTCAATCTGATTCGAATAGGAAAAGCCAGGAGGGGGGAGGGGGCGGGGGGTGGGTGGTAGGAGGTTTGAGGGATTAATGAAAATAATTATTATCTATCAATATTTTAGTAAGTGTCTTACGGCGCTCGCCATTGCATA